GCGGACAAGCGCGCGCGTCCCGCCCGTCCGCGTGTTGTCCGTTTTGCCCCAAAAGCGGCGCAAACTTGGGCCGCAGATGGGTCGAAAGCGGACACAAAACGGACAAAAGTCCGTTTGCTCCCGCGCGCTGGGCCGCTCGGTTTGTCCATTTTATCCCAAATGGACGGGGCCGGACAGGATAGGGTCGCGCGGTGGAGTTGGCCTTAAACGTACAAAGCAGGTCTTCCAACTTGCGGCCGTAAACGGACCGTCGTCTGGTTTCTGTCCGCTTTTGACCCATTTTCGATTCAAGTTTGGGTCGAGTTTGTGGCCGAACGGATGCGCGCGGGCGGCACGTGGCGCCTGCTCATGTCCTCCCCTGACACGTTCGTCGGGGACGTAGACCTCCCTTTTTCTAGCCCCCCCCCCGCCGCCACTCTCGTCCCTCGCTGCCGCCGCAAGGCTGCATGCAGGTACAGAGTCCGCCTCTAGCCGCTCGGATCTACACCGTCGGTGGTCCACCGGCGATACACGAACAATCGTCAGCCGAGTTTGATGTTGGCCCAAAGGCTCGTCGGCGCACCGTTGCCCCTCATAAAGTGCGACGACTGCCCAAGGAAGGTCTTGCGCCACGTGTCTACAACGCCGGAACATCCTAAATGGGTGTTCGTTAAGTGCTCAAACGATGGGGTATGTGCTACTTTTAACTTCGGTTGTGCTCTCGAATTTGACTAGTTGTACTAACATAAATTTTTATTGTGTAGAATGGATGCAACTTTTGGTATTGGAAAGAAGAATACATCGACATATTAATAGAGCGCAATTTAGTAGATGTTCGTGCACTTTTAGCTAGAATAGAGGCTAGAGATGAGACTAGTGCACTTGTTGCTAGAATAGAGGCTAGAGATGAGACTAGATGGGAGAAAGCAAAGTCTACTTCTTTAGACTCGGAGAAGAAAGAAGCACGCAAGATCGAGTCTCCGCAGATCAACAATGAATGCATCAAGAAGGCACTAATCCAACTTACGGGAGTAGTTAGAGAACTTGGTTATCTTCTAAAATGTCTTCTTGTGTTTCTTGTTTCCTTTGGTCTTACTATCCTAGTCAAAATTTGATGATGCGCTTTCATGTATCAAAAATTAATGACGAAAATAAAAGATATGTGTTTGCGAAAAAAATGTATGCAGATGAAATGCGGCGCGGCGCATCCACGAATCCGGCGGACACGACCTCATTGCCACCCTGAAACGGATGAAAAGCGGACATACATTTGGGGTCGCATGTTGGAGTTGACCTAAGAGCAACTCTAGCAGACCCCCGCATCCCGCGCCGGGCCGCAAAATAACCGCCAAATTGCGGGTCGGGGCCGGAAAATCTGCACGATCAGACCCCCGCATCCCGCGCTGGCCCGCAAAATAACCGCCAAATTGCGGGTCGGGGCCGGAAAATCTGCACGATCAGACCCCGCATCTCGCCCCGGCCCGCAAATATTTTTGTGGGGCGCGG